TAGGTGGAGTAGTAGACGATTGCCACGCTCGGGCCCGTCGCCTTCTTCATGGGGGGAAGGCCCTTCTGAATGGCCACCTCTGCACCCACCACAGGGGCCTCCGAGCAGGCGTTTCCCATGCTGACAATGGCAGAGAGAAATGGGAGGAGCGGAGGTAAAGGCGAGTGAGGCTTCGAGCTCTGAGCCTAAACGACACAGTCCACGGGCTCAGGTTATTCAACTCTTAGGCTACGCAAACATGCCAAGAAATCACAACAGTGTGTAGCCAAAGTGGTAGTGTCCGAGCACCGATGCAAAAGAAAACTGTCCGTCCGGCCGAAGCTGGATGCACGAGCAGCTCGACGTGCCTCTTGGTCCACTGGGGCGGCCAGCCAGGATCGGGGATCCTGGCATTTTTGTAGGACAAATATAGGCGATGTTACTGTCAGTACACAGCAGCTTTAGGCTTGAAGCCTTCGCCCCTTCAGGTTTGAACTTTGTGTGTGCAACATTTTGCGATGCCGGCCAAACTTGTCCCCCCGTCGATTGGATCAAGCCTTTGACCACCTCAAACCTGGCGAAAGCGGCGCTGAAGTCGTAGCAGACGTGTTGCAACTCCTCCTCGTGGCAAACCTCGGGGTGCAGCTCGTGCTGGTTTAGGGTTTAGGGATTCAGAGGTTTTGGAGTTTAGGGTTGCTGGGTCAGAGGACGGAGCTGCGAAGAGAGACAGAGCAAACGGGAGAGACCCTCCACCAAGACCCGAGGAACCAACAGCCCGGCAGGCGGACTTGATTTCACGGCAGATCTGCAGGTCTTCGGTGAACTTGGATGTATTGCGTCGTATTTCGCTCTGGCACTGCCGCAAGAACAGAAGAGCCACGACGGAAGGCCCAAGCAGCTTGAGCTTTGAAAATGGCCTCACATGGCGGGGTAGCCCTCCGGCTTGGGCTTCGCCGAGTCTAAGGCGGTCTTGCAGTCCAGAGCCCCGGCCTTAGCAAAGAGCGAAGAGGGTCTGAAGCTGTGCAGCCTTCAAGATGCCCGGCATGCTGAAAGCAGATGTCCACCTAGGTTCGTCATACTGCCCGTCGCACATGCATTCAGGAAGGCGTGCAAAGGAGGTCTGCACGCCATATCCACCGGCAGAGTGCATTTCCAGGCAGGGAGAACATCGACACGCAAATGCAGACAGGAGTTCTCACACCTGCAAGTGCTTGAAACCCCCGGGGCCTGGAATTCAATGCCCTGGTTCTTCGTGGTCTCAGTCATGCTTCGGGCCCCCTCGAGCCGAGGGAGCGGCCGGGCTCCCGATGTGTCGAACTCTGAAGGAGGCTTGGGGCATGTCGTGATGCCGCCGTCGCATTGGTGCGGAGCTGCTTGCTTTTAGACTCTTGCATCCCAAGGTCAAACAAGCCAAATCTTACCCGCCGTGCAGCAAGTTGCCGTCCACAAGCGCAGAAAGGCAAGTTTCACGATCATGGCTCTCACGAGGGAGCGCAGTTGAAGACGGGGAAAGTCCTTGTTTTGCTTGAGTCGCTGCGGGCGAAGCAGTCTTGTCGCACACAGGTCACAAGTATATTGTTGAAAGTCCGGCCGTGCAGTTGCTTCTCTCAACGGCATGATTCGCATGATGCGCGAAGCACGACAATGCCATCCCTGAGATGCCAACGAGGATACGTTGGTGATTGAACACCGTGTCGACCTGAACTCTCGGGGGAGGCAGCATCACTTGGCCAGGCAATCGGATTCAAAAAGCTGCACAGCGTTCGGGAAATTTCGGGTGGACAGCAAGTTTCTGCTCTGCGAGTCTGATGGTGCATTGAGCCTGGCATTTGAGCCCTGTGAGATATCTCACCTGAGCATCACACTGAGGAGAAGGACCTCAGTGTTCACCGTAAAGTTTTACGCAAGCTCTTCACAAACAAGCTTCTCCAAACTGAACGAGGCAGCAAAAAAGCTCCGGCTACAGCACTCACCGGTCCCTTCCTTCTTTTGCCAGCTGGGCTCAAGTGCCTCAAATATCGGGGATCGTCTGCTTTGATGCGCTGCGCATTCCGTGGATCCCAAAGGGTGACCTGTGCTGGTGGAGGTCGGAGTCTGCCAGAGTCTCAGAGTCCTGAATCCTTCATCTCTGTGCGAACCCATCTTGACAGCGTCATCCTAAGTTCTCTAGCTGACTCTAGCTCACAGCTCTAGCGCTCACGTAGGAGTGGTTAGGAGTGGTTCACAGGCTCCCGTGCACACACACCTCCTCTGCAGAATCCGACTCACCTAGTCAAGAGTCCTGAGCCCCCCTACATCTTAAACCGCTTCCTCCTTTTATATATATATATAGATATATATATATCTATATCTCTCTCTCTTCCTGTCGTCTCCCTTGAGGTCTCAGCCGGCCTGGGCAGGTGTTGACGCATCTGCGCGATCGCGGACCAACACCCAGGCCTGGATACACACTCTCTGACACTGAACTCTGTTGGGATACCACAGTATACCATGGTACAGTACAGTATACTAGAGGACGTGGGGAGAAATAACACGATCGTGAGGTGAATGATCTATATAGCGACTTCGTACTTGATGGAACAGTTCTAGAAATCGTAGCAGTTCTGCGTGTCCTCATCACAGCCAATTGCTAGAGTGTGAGGTCAGTTGATGCTCAGTTGTATCCCTGCAGAGTGAGGGTCCAGAGACGGCAAAACCGAACAGTTGTCCCATGGCTTGTTTCCGCCTTTCTTGCTGCGCAGGGGACGGTCCTCCGCAAGCTGCTACAGCAGTGATGTCTGCGTTCGGATTCCGGGTCGAACATCTCTTCTCAAGCCGCTGCCTGCAAGGTCTCTGCGCTTGGTTCCCTGCGTGGGCGAGCCCCTTGTCGTCCGTGCCCAGGCAGACCCAGGCATCCAAGGAGTAACCTTTTGATTCAGAGGGGCTTTAGTCAGTCAGCTCGCTCCTGACCCAATACAATCAGCGTGGAAACTCAAGTCGGATGAGGGAGCTGCAGCAAGGGGGGATGAAACGTCTCCTGCATTTTCCGCGAATTCCCCGGAGCGTTGTGGCTAATGAGTTGCAAGCCTCCAGAACCGATGCCCAAGCAGGTAGCATGAACATAAACAACACAATTTGGCAATCCGATCCAAAGGATCAAGGCTGTGCAGGGTGGTGGGGTGCTTTGGATGAACCGCCACCAGCAGCATTACTGAGCTATGAGCATCTGCAAGTCTTCACCATCGCCGGCATCAGTCATCACCATCATCACCATCATCATCACCACCACCACCACCACCACCAGTACCAGTACCAGTACCAGTACCACTATCACCGTCATCATCAACATCATCAGCAGAATCATCATCGTCATCATTGTCATCGTTATCAGCATTAGCAAATTCATCATCCTTATCAACAGACGATATGAACAAGCAGCTTGCACTCCTGACCGGCATGCTCTTCCTCCTCTCCTCTCGCCTCTCCCTTCTCCCTTCTCCGCGAAGGGAACCTAGCAGCAGTGAGCACAGAAGAAGGGCTCGCTCCTCGAAGGTCGCCCGGCCTCAGTCGAACAGATCGTGGATGAACAGCAGAGCAGGACATTAGTAGATCAACTTTAAGCAGCCATTGCTGTTCGAGTTGGTATACACTGCAGGACGATATGGTATGCCATAACGGCAGCTGTAATTTACACATGCTTTTCTTAAACAAAGGTATATTATCCTGTACGGGCCCACGATGTCGTCATGATTCTCTCCATCTCTCTCCTGCAACATGCAACATCTGCTTACTCGCATAGTTCCGTCGTCGTCTTCACATGCCTTCGGGAAGATGGGCTTGATTGAAGTTGACGGGGTTCTCGCGCTCCCCAAAGGCGTCTGGGGCAACTCGGGGGTTCCCGCCGCGGACATTTGCTGCCTCGAAAAGCTGAGATGAAACCATTTTAGATCGTTTTGGGGATAAGCGGAAAACCAGACAGGACGGACATCTGCACAAGTCGATAGCTGAATCCCGCTCAGGGCGCCATGGGTTTGGCATCGCGCCGACGAGGTCTAGAGACTAGGAACGCCTATGAAGATACGAAGTTTAAGGTGCTAGTGCCAAAAGCCCCGAACCCAAAAGCGCTCAAACAGCCTCAGAAACTCAATGCAGGGGTCTTAACCATCTGAGCAGGGTCTTGGGGTGTATTGAGGTATAACTATATTGTCCTAGGATGGCGGGAAGGCTGGGGCGTCAACCTTTCGCCCAGAGGGCCGGAAAGCTCGTCCAACCTCGCGAATCTGCGCTGGTCACTTTCTGAAAGGGTTCCAGCGCTCTATACAAGGATTACTATATATGAGGGGGCTCTCTAAGTTAGGGTCCCTTGTAGGATCCTGTGCCTTACTTTTTGTTGGGGAACCTAAAAAAGGGATAAGAAGGGATTCTATAACTTTGAGAATTATATAACCCGAGGGGTTCTGCACAAGGGTTTGGATAAGGGAGTGTAGCGGCTGAGTTCGGGCGCCTTGACAGGGGGCCTTGGGGGTATAATATTGCGTAGCAGAACTACACGGGCCTATGAGGGGACCTACATTCTAGCGCCTTCTGAGATGACCCCGTCCCTCCCAGACTGTGCTGAATCTGGGGCCCAAACGTGGCTCAGCAGATGCTGCCTCAGTGGGTCTTGGTGCAAAGGCCTTGGGATGAGGTTTAGGACCTTTAGGATTTAGGGTGTCGTTGTCCTGGCCTCCTTGGCACCGACGGGCTCGAGGGGCAGCAGCGAGACGAAACCTGAGCTCTCAGGCATCTCGGAGAAAGCTAACATCGTCACATTCGGGCCCCAATTTTTGAAGCTGGTCACGAGCGGGCCAAGTCGATCTCACGGCATTGTCCCACGTGGCGCAGGTTTTAAATCAGGGCTTTGTAGCAAGCACGACCTTGGTCATGCCTGCAATCATGTCAAAAACCTCCACGTGGTCAAAGCCTGCGGCCTTCATGCGCGAGCTTATGTCGCAGGGGGCTAAGCCCAGCCCTGTGGGATTTACAGTGACGTGCTGCAGTGCCCAGTAGGCTCCCAAGGTGGGGCCATCTCTGGTGTCGTCCACCATGAAGTCATGCACAACCAGACGGCCACCCGAGCGGAGCACTCGGAAGGCGTTTTGAAACAACTGAGCAATCACATCCTCTGGCACTGAGCCACAAAGGTAAGACATGAGAGCAAGGTCTTGAGACTCTGCTTCAACGGGCCAGGCGGGAGAAGTGGCATCCAACTCCTTGAAGCCAACTCTGGACTTCTCTGGTGATGCAGCTTGCTCCATTAGGCTTCTTCCAACGCGGCAGACCTCCGGAAGATCCAGCACGGTGGCCCTCAACTCTGGGTTCATTTGGGCGGCCTGCAGGGAGAAAGCGCCGCTGCCTCCGCCGACATCCAACATCCGACCGGTCGTTGCAAGCGAAACCTTTCTGAAGAGGGACTTCGCTGTGGCTAGGCTGCCATTATGCTGTGCGGACGTATAGAGGGAGGCCACTGCTGGATCCGAGAACCACTGGGAGTAGTCGAGTACCTCCTCTCCCCTCAGCACTTTTGCCAGCTGCCCCATCCGGGCATAAAACAAGCCACCCACCTGATGTTTGAAATAGTCACCATAGTACGCCTTTGAAGTCGACACCATAAACTTTTGAACATTCGGCGAATTACTGTAGAGCTGTGATTCGTCTCGGCGCAAGCACTTTGCTGCCACGAGCGCTGTCAACAAAGTCTGCAGGCGATTGCAGGGCACCCCGCACCCTTCTGCCAAGTCGGAGACGCGTTGCGGGCCCTTCGCCAGGTAATCGAAGACGCCCAGTTCCAGCGCGGCAAAGAGAGCCTGCACACGACATCACGACATAAACTTCTGGATTCTGGTGGGATGATGCTCTATAGGGCGTCATGGCCTCAACCTGCCCCTACCTTTATACCAGATCTGCTTAGCGCTTCTGCCACCCTTGGCATTCTTGAGCGTGCATGTCAAAACACAGAGGTTCCAAACCATCATGATCTTGACTCACAATTCCCTTCTTGGGTGCGGAGTCTGGATCTGGGTTAGTTATTGGCTGAATTGCAAAACCTTCAGCCCGTTGTCCGGCCGGTTGTCCGGCCCCCCTTACGCTCACAATTCGAAGATGCTTGCAAACGAACGTAGAAGTTTGCACATGTTTGCACTTTCCTCGTCTCAGATGTCCATCCGGGTAGGGTCATGGGAAGGGGAGTTTAACAAATTTCCTGCATCTTTCTTGTGTTTGGGCACCGCAGTGCACATCGGTGTCCTGCGAAGCCATGAACCCATAGGCCAGGCTGTCGAGGTCGACATCCTCGCTTCCACAAGCTGAGGTCCGTAGAGCGGTAGTATGGCCCGTCACAACCTTCAATCGGCGGATCGGGCGCGACATCACGGAAAGTGATTTTCTACGCGCCCAGTGCAGGCCAACCGGACAGACGCATCGACTTTAGATGTCGCCCTTTTGATGTCTAGGGGATTGAAGTCAACAACTTGTGCACCCGTCATGGCAGTCTAACTTCGGGCCGCAGCAGATGTGGAACATCCTGTCGGGACAACAACGAGACTCCAAGCGTCTCATGTCATGGAACTACTTGCAAAACCTTCGGGCAGTCCCGAGTCGTGGAAGGGGTCCTTTCAACCGCCAAAAGAGTAAAGTCTCCCGGTATCAATCCGTAGCCCGGCAAGCAGGTCGATGATGCTGGGGTTCGAGCGCAAGGCGTGGTGGGGGCCGTCCAAAGTTCGCCCAGCATGTAGCGGTGCCTGAGATGAAAGAAGACTTTCAAACCAATCGGGCATGTATGCCTTCACCCTCTAGTCGGAAAGCTGGACCATTCTTAGCCCCGCCCATGGCTTGTTGAGGGCTTTACGTCATCTGACTGCTCTTGCTACTGCTACTCTTTGAGATCATTGACGACTGCACCGAGCTTGAAGAGTGAGCGAGCGTGCGAGCTAGCGACCACGAAGTTTGCCACCGGCAGGAAGAGGCAATTCTCCGTCCTCCGTGAGCAGGAAGATCCATGTTGGTGCATGCGCATTTGGATGTGTATGTATACATAACCGGGGAGAGAACTTTTTGATCAAGAGATGGGGTTGGGTTTGCCGCAACAATCGACCCTTCGCCTTCGGATGATGGGACTACTTCGAAACTGTTGTTGGATGTGGCACATTCGCACGCACGCACGCGCACGCACGCANNCCCCCCCCCCCCCCCCGCACACACACACACACACACCCACCCACACACACCCACACACACACCCACACACACACACACATACACACACCCCCGCGCACACACACACCCGCGCACACACACACAAACACAAACACACACAAACACACACAAACACACACAAACACACACAAACACACACAAACACACACACAACCACAACAACAACAACAACAACAGCAACAGCAACTAGGATTGTGTTGGTAATTATTTCGGCCCC